CATTGGTACTCAGGTAAACCACCTCACACACGGCCACACACCCGTGTTTGCCCGCCGGCTCCACCATTCTGATGGGAAGAAACACATCATTTAACCAAACTGGTCAAGTGCAAACTAATTTCTCTTTTGTAGTCACTGCCTCGGGTCCTCAGGTTTTGTAGAGTTTATATCGGAAATGAGCAGCACACTGTTTCTGTGTGCACAAACTTCTTAACAACTTAGTTTGGGTTTTGTTCACAGCACAACTTCTGGTACCTCAGCGCAGTGTGGTTTAGTACAATTGAGAATTTTACCGCTCAACTCGGGTCCTGCATTTATCTCCGACACTCACTGCCTTTATATCTGTAGGTGTCTGGCAGTCGGCCAGTCACCGGGGTTCTGTTTAATCTTGCTGAAGAGAGACAAGGGTATAAATTTCCCTGCTGCTTTTAGATTTTTTAAAATATATGTTTTACATTTTTTGTTTGCTGGGTCTTTAAATAGCCGTACTTGACAGGGAATCCATAAATCCTTGTGAAACATGGTTGGTCGTTGTTGTGCCTGAAGCATTTTATACGTCAGAGTCGCATGTCCTCATTAAATTCCATAAACCCATTTTTGTATGGCCTTTTCTGACCATTGAAAAGACAAGACAATTGACCTGACATGTGACCAATGCCCTGGTGTCAAAGGTCCAGGTCCACCATGGGAGGTCTTTACCATCCATCTGCCACGGACTGAAAAAGTCAAAAGTCTTTGGCATTTGGACCAGTGGCTGGATGCTTCTGTCATGGTGATTGTCTGAATGGGTCAGTGAATGATGTCTGTCTGACTGTCGGTCGGTCTGTCATGGTGAGAGGGGCTTGGCCATTGAAGCATAGGCAGTATTAGCTCTCAGGCTGAGCCTGGCTGCTGTCACTGCCTCGATAGCTGTCACGCTAACACCCCCACCACTATCATTGGAGCACTTATGGGCCTGTCATTCACCTGAGAGAGAAAAAAGAAGGGAGGCTTTGGGGGTAAAAGTGTGTGCTGAGGGAGATATGTAAACCAGAGTCGGAGGAAACAGTGGAGGCGGGGGTTTGAATGCAGAGGCTAAATCAAGGTAATGACAGGAGAAAAAACGGATGGGGAAATGAGCAGGCTCACTTGGCTTGGATGCAATATA